TAAACAGAATTACTTATATTTTGTGAAAAAGTGGAAATATTTTTGTTATTTTTTACTATTTGCGGTGACGTAATCACTTTAACCATGTCTTACCCTAGCTATATAAGCGTCTAATGCCCATGGGCCATGGCTATGTTGTGTGTGGAGATTACCATGTTTTTTCTCTAGTTACAGATCGTCAGAAATGACACGATTTCCCATTTGGTGTGTCACGCTGCTGGCACTGTTTTCCCATCCCACGTGCAGTCATGCTGAAGAAGAGAGTAGTGACGCTGATGTGTACCACGACTACTGCGTTGTCGGCGCCGGCCCCGCTGGACTGCAGATGGCTTTCTTTCTCGGGAAAGCCAAAAGAGATTATGTAGTTTACGAACGGGAGAGCGAAGTAGGTAAGGTTTGCGTCAAAATCTCGCCCCGAACTTTACCTCTCATATTTAAACATTACTTTACTGCTCGCTGGTTGAACACCCGCAAAGAAACGGGTATTTTCTTATCGATCGGATCGATACACCATGAACGTCACGAAACACATTCCTAACGCGTTTCCAGAACCCGTGTTCGCGTCACAGAACGCGATGTGATCTCGTTTTTTTACGGAACCCATCTCCGCATTGTTCCGATCGCATTTTCGGAACCCATCTGTACGTCACGGAATGCGATCTGATCGCGTTTCTGGAACCCGTCTCCGTGTCGTGGCACGCGCTCCGATCGCGTTTCCGGAACCTGTCCTCACATTGTTCCGATCGCGTTTCCGGAACCTGTCCTCACCTTGTTCCGATCGCGTTTCCGGAACCCGTCTCCACGTCACGAATCCGCCTCTCCGCTGCAGGTTCGTTCTTCGCGAAGTACCCGCGTCACCGCAAGCTGATCAGCATCAACAAGCGACACACGGGGAAGACGAACCGCGAGTTCAACCTGCGGCACGACTGGAACTCTCTGCTCAGCGACGACGACTCTCTGCGCGTCGCACGTTACACGCACGACTTCTTCCCGTCCGCCGACACCTACGTCGACTATCTCCGAGACTACGCCGCCAAGCTCGGGTTAAAGGTATGCTCGCGTTAACCCGTAATAATCTTTACGCTGAAGTAATCAGTATTATATATATGCTTACGGGCGAGTCTAAATTGCTCTTCATTTATTGACTTCTCTATTTATTTGTGAGATAGTTCCTTAACTCGTTTCCGAATGATTTCGGGACGATTTTAGAAGATTAATGAGTCTTTCAGTTAGTCTGATGCCTGCCGGTGTCGCCTCATCGGAAGATTCGTAGATTTGTCGGAAGTTTTCCAATACACCTAACCTTCGATGAGCAAATATAGGCTTGATACATATTTTTACTGTATTATTTTCAAAGCTAACGTTCAGTTAAAGTTTAGTGAATAATTTACTTACGTTTTTACAGTGGTTTGTTACAAAAATTTACGTGGAAAGTTTGAGGGAAGCTACTTTTAACGTAAAGATTTTGGGGGGTAATATCAATGCATGTTCGCTTTTAGGTTCAGTTTAATACAGCTGTCCAAGATATTCACAAGGCTGAAAATGTTTCATCGGATTCTGGCTTCGTCTTTAAAATGAATGATCAACATGGCAAGAAATACGTCTGTGGGTATGTACGTAACTACGTAATCAAGAGTATGAACGAATAACTTGTTTCCTTTATAAATGGGTTAATGTGTAAACATCTTTTACACATGCAGTAAACGATTCAGGCATGCAAATAGACTGCCCTCACAGTTTGATCAAGATTCGCGAAAAGTACAAGGGTTTTTCTTGTTATTCATTACTATTTTTGTAGCTTAGTGGCATCAATTGGTGGTTCCTTGATCCTATGAAGACTTAATGTAGTCAATCTACATCCCATAGATATGCTCCATGCATCTACTACATAAAAACAGGGGGTAGTGGCAATCAATCCACATCCCGTAGTACACACACGGGGGTAGTGGCAGTGGATCTGCGTCCCCCATCCCCCCCCCCAACTTCACTCTTGTTCATACCCCTACCATATCACTACGTTCGGTTATACCGGACCGTTGACCCAGGGGTACGTTTCCGGCAGTTACCTCTATGGGGACATAGACGGTTTAGACCCTATGAGCTATGAGTATAAGAGACATATTGACTATGACTATGAGTATGAGTATGAGTATGACTATGTCTATGTTAAATGTTTATCTGGAAATTTGTGTCGTTAATTCTAAAGATACCATAAAAGAATATAGCAGACTTTTAAATAATGAGGACTATTTGATATGTTGTCGTTAGAATAGTCTAACTACACCTGTAGTAGTGCAGTGCTTGGAGTTACGTGTACATTAACTCGTCTACCATTTGGGCATAAGACAACAACACTAGTCATGTTTGCTTCCACTTGCAAGCTATTGCGCTCCACGCGCCATCTGCAGGCGTGTTTTGTTAAAATTTAGGCCGAGTTTTGTGCAGCGCCACCTGTCCAGTGTGTTGACAGGACACTGACGGATTACATGATTGAATGAGAAATATATAATAATAATTAATATTAGATGAATTTTAGTCCTGTTATATAATCCACCTTGGTCAGATGATCGCCTGCCCTTTCAGTTGTTTGGTAAGTAAGTGTGCAAATATCTTTCATGACCGATTAACGAGAACATATGTTCAAGACAGAAGCATAGATATAGAACTTGAAGAAGACTGACAGAAGTGACGAAGATCTATGACTATAACTTATAAGTATGAGTATGAGTATGACTATGACAGAAGTGATCATGAATAGCCTAGGCCTAATAACAAATTGAAAAAGCAACATTTGTTTTCATTCATTCATTAGGCCACAGGCACTTGGAGCGTTTCAATAAAATATAATGCTAAATAATACGAATACTATTTACTACAAAGTCTTAATGTTTTCTTAGCTCTCTTTCACGCTATACAACCCGTTGACAGTTAACACTGCCCATGCGCTTAGCCTAAGTCAAAGGTCGGGAGAGTTTTCCGTCAAAAGCGTGAGTAAAATGCGCAGACACATGGTGTTAACGTGTAGTATGAAGGGCTGCTCAAACGGATCGTTTGGCTTAAGGAAGACTTTTAGAGTCAGTGCCATGTGATCTAGCTCTAGTACTATAGACGCTTATCATTAACTGCCGCTAGGGCTATTAGATCGACCCATGGGGCATGCAACTGGTACCAACTTATCCCCGATTATACACCCCGACATCTAAAACGTTCTGTGGTAGGCAATTTAATGCTCTATCCAGAAGTGAATATGTCTTGAATTATCAGCCCGGCTACTAAAATATGAAACCTCTAACTTATCGTTGCAATTGGATTACTTGCGGTATTTCTGTGAACAAACATGTCCGATTTAGCGAACTTCAAACGGGGCATTTTTGCTGGCGCCTGCAGCAAGCGCCAGCTCAGCGTTTTGGGAAACTATGTATTTCCCCATGTGGAGGGTGGGCGGGTTTGGGAGGTTGTGGACAAAAACATTGTTGTTGTCAAGTTAATCAAATAAGGATCAAACGAGATCCCTGAAACTCATTAGTTTTTGATCCATGAAAAGATAAAGCAAATTACTATTGTTTATTTGTTAACTTGAACCAACAACAATGTTTTTGGTCCAAAACCAACAGACAACCCGCCCACCCTGCTACATTGCGAGAAATACATTAGCTCCCGCTGACAGTGGCTTGAGTACGTTGGTCCATTGCATGCCCATGGGTCGTTCCATATGCAGCCAGTCGGCAGTTAATCGTAAGCGGCTTTAAGTACACGAGCTAGCATTTGACCATATTTAAATGTACAAGTGGTCATGTCACTCAGGTACATCATTATCGGGTGCTTTATTCGCTGCTACAGTCACTGTTTTTCGACCACAAAGGTGAGCGACTGCCGATGCAAGGCAGATAAAGGCATCGAGATAACAATATGGTGGAGTTACTCGCACATGCGGGCTCTGCGCGAGATGGCGTAACTAATGCGCAGAACATAGGCGGCCAGAACTTGTCAATGGGTGTAATTCAGGCTATTAGGCCCTCCTAGTATTACTCGTATTATTTATGGCCGGTTGGCTACGCGATCGCCGGTTCGCGGACGGGGCAGCTCTAGGCTACGCGTTCGGACATCCATTCTCAACAGTGATCTTAGCGACACGCACACACATGAGTTGCGCAACGAAGACGCTACCTGCTCGATTGCCAGAAGTGTGTGTGTGAGTGTGTTGAGAGAGAGAGAGAGAGGGAATGTGGTATGTGCTGGTGTGTATGCGTGAGAGAGAGAGACGATGAGCTAAGAGGTGTGTGTGTGTGTGTCTGTGTGTGTTTGTGTGGTGTGTGTGTGGTGTGTGAGAAATACAGAGAGGCTGTGCGTGTGTAGTGTGAGAAAGAGCTGTGGCGTGTGTGTGTGAGAGAAGAGGATGAGTAAAGAGAGGAGAGAGCTTGTGCGTGTGTTGAGAGATTGAGAGAGAGGAGAGCGGAGAGGAACGGATGAAAGGATATAGCCAGCAGCAGTGCATATTTTCTGGCATTTGCGTGACGCGAGTCCACCGATCACTGTGTGAGTGGATTGTGCCTGGATGCGTAGCCTGGAGGCTATGCGACCAAGTTCCGGATGCTAGGCCACTGCGTAGTATTCATTGCGACACATTTCCTGGTAAATGTGCGTCAAATGCCTCATCTGCAACACACGCGGCCGTGGCTGCCGCAGCACGCGTAGCCTGCTGCACATGACACCATAAATAGATACTGACATAAATATACACATAATTTGTGACATAAATATATATGTAGTATTATACACCTATATATTTATGGTACGTGTCAGTTGTGCAGGCAGGCTACGCGTTGGCGGCAGCCAGCGTGTGTGTTGCAGATGAGTCATTTGGACGGCATTATACAGGAAATTGTCGCAATAATCAGGTGAAAGAGAGTATAGAGGAAGAGTAGGGAAGGACATTTCGTTAAGTTATTTGAAGTAGTAAATAGATTTCGATTTATTTACGCATTATATTTTATTGAAGTATCTCCAAGTGCCTGACATTAGCCATAGGAACTGGGTAACAGTTACCGTCAGACCGCGTGCATGGTCCGGCAAATAGGCTGCGCTAAAAATGTCAAATTATTTTATGTATTTTTAAGTTTTGCTGGTATGTCTTTTCATTCAACAGTACAGTATAATGTTGTAAATATCTGCTAAAATTCGACCTGATGTTAGTTTGTGAACAGAACACATGCTGAATAGTTTGTTTTTGTACAATAATGATAGGTGACAGGGGTACTTTCCACCTGTTACAGAATTTGCCAACGAAATATAATGAAGTAATGAAATTGAAAAAAGGCCTCATCACTTTCAAATTTTTGGTTGACGTTAACTGAGTACATAATTTCCTATGGGCCTCATGTGGTCAATCAAACATTACTGACGTAGTTGCAATGAGTATCATTAACGATAGTTTGTCTTTATGGGCAGCATTCAACGTCTATAACCAGACTCAGAGCTTTTAAGGTTTCTATAATTTCCATGTCACATCGTGGACATAATTAAAAGGTTATAGGTGTAGTTTCTTGTTGACTGATATCTAAAACAATTCAAGAAGTATACAAGTGAACTGTTGCTCACTTCAAATCATACTCCTCCGATGCGAATCCTTGCTTCTTACATGCTTCGTCTAAAACCTGAAAAGGCAGTACACAATTACAATAACGTCCCTGTGCCGTGGCCGTGTGCTGGTGAATTTATTGCAGTGTCATGAAACATAAAGTACACTCACTACATAGCTCTAGTACTATAGACCGCGTACAGTTGCCGCAGGGCTATAGAACATGCTATATAAAAATGCTAGGGACCAACCCGCTGACTGGCGCTGCTGCACCCCCACCAAAAATAGCCGTTTGAAGTTCGTAAATAATGTTCGTTCACAAGAAATACCACAAGCAGACCATTTCAACAATAGTTAGAGGTTAAATTTTAGTAGCTGATATAACTTAACTAAGACATTCACTTCGGAGGCATTAATTGCCTACCACAGACGTTTTATAGCCGCGAGTAACCGTGAATAAGTTGGTCCCTAGCATTCGTAATAGAATGCTCTATAGCCCTGCGGCAACTGTACGCGGGCTATAGTACTAGAGCGAACTCACTACACTGTAGCTCTAGTACTATAGCCCGCTTACATTAACTGCCGCTGGCAGCGGCTGGCAAGCCTCTGCGGCGGCGGCGGCGGCTGGCAGCAGCTGCCAGTGGCAGTTAATGTAAGCGGGCTATAGTATAGTACTAGAGCTAACTACACTGGTACCTTGAGAGTCTGTCACACACAGTGTGTGTAAAGGCACAGTGTCTGACAGTAAATAGTGACCTTTGCATGATCACCCAATGATGAAATTATGGCAGTTGCCAAAATCTGGTTATTATTTAGCCGATGAAGTTCAACGAACGGAACGAATGAGGTTGGATGGCACCTACGAGTATGAGTATGACTATGACTATAAGTATGGCTGATGGGGTCTATGTCCCCCAGGGTACTGCCAGAACGTACCCTGGCACTAAATACTACTATCTATATGCCGGACCGTACCTCGCCTACTCCACTAACGAGTCTAGGGAGTCGCTAACCCGACCAGGCTGTGTGACTAACGTCAATACACCGTTCTATACTAACGTCAATAAACGTTCAATATACTAACGTCAATACAACGTTTCTAACCCTAGCAATACCATTTCTTGGAAGCATAGGGGGGCGAGCCGCGGGGTGTTGGGGGCGGGGGAGGGAGTTGCCTACGCCTACTCCCTAACGCTCACCCTAACCATACCCCTTACCATATCAGCTACGTTCGGTATACCGGACCGTACCAGGGTACGTTCCGGCAGTACCCTAGGGGACATAGACGGTTTAGACCCTATGACTATGAGTATGAGCATAAGTATGACTATGACTATGAGTATGAGTATGAGTATGACTATGTCTATGTTAAATGTTTATCTGGAAATTTGTGTCGTTAATTCTAAAGATACATAAAGAATATAGCAGACTTTTAAATAATGAGGACTATTTGATATGTCTGTCGTTAGAATATCTAACTACACCTGTAAGTAGTGCAGTGCTTGTGATTACGTTGTACATTAACTCGTCTGCCCATTTGGCATAAGACAACAACACTAGTCATGTTTGCTTCCACTTGCAAGCTATTGCGCTCCACGCGCCATCTGCAGGCGTGTTTTGTTAAAATTTAGGCCGAGTTTTGTGCAGCGCCCACCCTGTCCATGTGTTGACAGGACACTGACGGATTACATGATTGAATGAGAAAATATATAATAATAATTAATATTAGATGAATTTAGTCCTGTTATATAATCCACTTGGTCAGATGATCGCCTGCCCTTTCAGTTGTTTGGTAAGTAAC